TTTAAGAGATTTGATTGGCCAATTCGTTATAACAAGAGTATTTTTATTATATTTGTTCAAAAAATTCGTTATATCAAAAGTTCGCTATATCAAGAGTTGACTGTAAGTATGTGATATCACAAGTTATACTTAAATCATATTACATGATCAATACTTTTATATTCCTTATATATTATTTTTTTATGATCAAAATAAATTCTTTTAATTATAAATATAAAAGATTTGCTATTAAAATTAAATATAAATAGTAAATCATCTATAATATGATTTTAATAGTAAGCTTTTATATATTTAAGTTCTTTTAAAAATATATTATTATTGTCAGCATTATTTGCTATAATTATTATAATTAAAGATGTGTTTCATAATTAATTTAATAATATATTATAATTGTAAAATTTTATAATTTTATTGTAATATTTATTATAATTAAAATTATATTATAATTTAAAATATTATAATTATCACAATTAAAATTATATTAATAAAATAATGCAATTGATAAGTAGTAATTTATTTTATTTAAAATATATATCTAACTAATTAAAATTATTATATATATAATCACTATCTAACTTTATAATTGCAGCTATATGCCTTTTTATATTAGCTACCAAATTCATGATAAGTATAGATAAGAAATAATTCCATTTTTTGTAAGTTTTTCCTTTAACTTTCTAATTGATTGAATTTTTTTGTATATTAATTTTTATTAATTTTCAAATATTTTATATAGGATTTTAGTCTAAAAATATTGATGGCTAAAAAGTACCTTAATGTCATTTTTTACTTTCCATTTTTTGTGATTATAAATTGATGCTTTAGATCATTATCTTCTTATAAGATCTAATTTAAATTACCTTTATTAAAAAGTTTAGAAGTAAAAGTTAGAAGATTCTGCTTATAAATATATATAAATTTAATATTAATATTTTTTTTAAAAGCAAAATAACTTACCAAATTCAGAAGTAAAAAACATCCTTAAATATGAATTTTTTAATAAATACAAAATACTTTTTTTACTAGAAACTGCCAAATCTTTTTAATATATATAAATGAATGTACTCTTATCAAAAACAACTTGATTCTAATCAAAATTCTTATGTTTTTTATCTATTATAATCTTTTTTTTGATGGTTTTTTTGTAAGTAAAAGATTAGCAATTTTACTATTAAATTTTTTTTTAGATTTATAAAAATGCTACCTTACTGTTTTTACACTAAGCTTAATATCTCTTTCTTCTATTTTTTCTTGTATTTAAATACTGTATACTTTGAAATTAAGCACTTTTTTTGCTATAGTGATGCTTAATTTTAGGTAATAACAAAATTACTAATTTTTAATCTCAGAAACTATGAAAAAATGATAAATACTTTATATTTGTAACATATTTTATTTAGGGCCATATAGAAGAATTTGTTAAAATAAAGTTTTGCGAAAGTGAATATAATTTAGTAGTAATTTTGGATATGTTAGTGGTGAACAATAATGGTAGCAGCAACAATAATAGTAGCAGTGATGGTGATGGCGATCATTAATAATGATAAAAGAAATATTGATGGCAATGATTCTTTTAAATAAAATAAAAAAAAACATTGAATTTTATAAAATATTTAATAAATTAGGTTTAGTTTAGCATTTATTTTATTTTCAGATGCTAAAAAATGTGATAGTGCTTATTTTCAGATACTAAAAAAATAAGATGGTACTTATTTTTAGGGAGTGCCTATTTTTGGAAGAATACGGCAGTTATTATAATATTCTTTCTTTACTATTTTTACAATTTTATCATCTTGTTTTGCAGTTAATATAGTTTTTCTACAGTACTTAGACCCTGATTTTTATGGTATCTTTTAAATCAATAAATAGCTATAGACTTACTACAATATATCTGTTTAACAAGAAATCTAAAACTAAATTTTGGTTTAGCTAGATGCTCACATAAAAAGATAATTTCATATCATTTTTCTAAAGGAAGTTCCATTTTTTAAACAAAATTTTAATGATCATCTATATATATATACAGTCTGCGACATAAATATCCGGAATTTTATTGGTAGCACGAAAAAAGCCCCTATACTGCCAATTTATGTCTGACCAAAACAAAAATCAAAATAGCAATTTTTTAGCTATTTAT